GAGCCGCGTGCCAAACGTTGCCGACCCCTGGTCTAAATGTATTGAGTGAGGACTTTAATGCCCAAAGACTTTTGGGGTGAGATTTTCAAAAGTGCCTAAGTGATTTGGGCACAAGTCACATTGGCTTTAAGGTCCTATGTCATTTAGTAGTTTTCAAAATCCTGCCCTTGGAAACTAAAGGCAGCAGTTTCAAGCTGATGGGATTTAAGCCGGTTTTATATTGTGGATGTGTTAGCTACAGGTTGTGAACACATAGGTGTAAGATGTGCTGATTTTGCTATTTAATATCTGTGCTCAAAGGTATGTCCTGGAGTACTTAAACATTTTAAACGAGTTGTAAATAAAGTGGAATTTGCCTACCCATTTTTCTCCCCAAAAAGCCATAGCTTACTTCTTGGGTTGACTCCTGCCTGCTCAAAAGTCATGATAGTATTGTTAAATTAAAGAACAAGACCTAAATAACCCCACAGAGCATTAACCCCTTAAGCATTTCAATGATTAACATAGAAGCAATTATATAGCTGCATAATCCTCATAGCTGGTTGTTTGATGAGCAATAATGCAGCAGCCATCTAACTAGAACCCTTAAATGGAAATTAGTCAACATCTGTACTATTAATATTGTAAAGAAGATATAATATATAAGTAGGTAGAATGTGGTTTTATTTCCTCATTTGCTTCATGAAGAAATCAGGATCTAATTGAATTTACATTGGTAATATAAGTAATAATTCTCTAATTTAAATATATTGGGCCAGATCCTCAGCTGTGTAAATCAGTGTAGTCCATTGAAGTCATACCTAAAAATTTGGTCGCATGCCAGTAAATTAATTTGAGTGTTAATAGGAAGAATGAATTAATGCACGAACATTAATAAATAATGTATAGAACCTATTTAGGATTTTAAATGTGCAAAGTACATTACAGACATTAACTAATTAACTGGAACTTTCATAATAAGCCTAAAAATAACTGACTTCTAATGAACTGATTTTAATGTTTCTGGCTGGGATTTCCAAAGAACCCAAGGGAATTAGGTGCACAAATCCTATTGAGATTCATTGGGATTTGGTTAGCTGAATTCCTTAGGCTCTTTTCAAAATCCCAATCTCTGTAATTTGTAGAGGGAAAAGTCAGGTCAATGAATGGAATGGATACATTCTGAAAAGAAAGCCACATGGTAAGTGTGTCCTATATGTGTGAATAGAGCCCATATGTTCAGTTGGTCCCTTGTCAAAACATCCATCCAATTGACTTGCTGCTCATCTCTTGCATCTTAGGCTTGCTCTCTTAAGCACTTCTTCCTACCGAGAGTGCATGTATAAGAAGCATAGGGAATCTCCACTGGGATCAGAACCTGAATATAAATGACATATACATGAGTAGCTCACCTCCAATTGGAGTACCCATCAACCTCAGCGGTATCATTGAACTAAAATCAATATTCAATAGAACCTGAGGGCACTCAACACGTCAAAAGATCAAGCCACCAGCTACCATTCCTGCCTTTATTGAAGTCAATGGGATTTTTGCTATGAACTTAAATGGGAGCAGGAGCAGACCTATACTGGCTATTTAAAGGGGGCCAGGATAAGAGTAGTGAGGGAAGGGGACCCAGATCCAGGGGAAGGAAAACAGAGAATAAGGGAAGACTAATTCATCTGTCAAAAGTGGCAATCGTAAAATCAAATACCCTGATTTTCCTCTCATTTATACCAGGTTTATACTAGTGTAACTTCCTCAGGCCAGCTCCTCAGCCACACCTGGGCACCACTCTGAGCAGCTGAGGGGGAGGAAGACAAATGCTGCACAGCTTCCACCCTTGTCCCCCTCCTATCCCAGAGTTGTGCCCAGGTTTAAATGATACCCAGCTGCAACAAAACAGCAAGAGGCTGTTCTAGCAGCTGGGGATTTCTGGAGCACAGCCAGGCTCTAACCACATCCCCTTTCCTTCACCACACCCTCAACACACTGGCCCTACATCACAAGAGGGAATCCATAGGAACCCGGTTAACTAGCTTTTGTGGCCAATTTGCACCACCAGAGCAGTGCAAAAGAAACACATTTCTAGTGGGCTGGGTTTTTCTAAAGGACCCCATGCATTTAATATTTTAAAAGTTCCCTCACCTCCTTCTCATTGGTCAATCCAAATTTCTTCAGGTCTATCTCATCATAATAAATGTTGTTCAAGGTGACTTCAATCTCCTGTATCTGAAATGATAAAAATCTGAAACTGTCAGTTTGTCACCAGACTTTCCTGCATGACAATCTGATAAAGTATTTTAACAATTGAAAGGTCACAAAAGGAAGGGGAGCAAAGAGGATAAAATGGGCCCATTTTAGAAACACTTGAACATTATTCTGTAGCTAGGGTGACCAGACGTCCCGATAAAATTGGGACTGTCCCGATATTTAGGCCATTTGTCCCGATATTTTGTGGCACTCTTTTTTTTTTTTTTTTCCCCCCCTGCCTGCGACCCCCCCCCCCCCCCCAAATGTGTCCTGATATTTTTTTCCTCTTATCTGGTCACCCTATCTGTAGCATTCTTCCCTTTTGTTTCTGAGTCTGTTCCTGTGAAGTGCTGAGTGCCCTTCACATCCATTATCCTCATAGGAAGTGCTCTGCATTCTCATTGTCCCAAAACAGCTAGCTGCCCCTTCAGGCAGGTTCATATTTTACTTAGGTTATCTAGAGAAATGGGCTCAGCCTGAACGTCTCAGTGGGTCCCACGACTGTATTTGCTTTATGAGCTAAATATTAAATGGTGAAAAAGATACCTGTGGAATTCTTGCCAGGGTGAGCATCTGAATATTGTTGACAGTCTTCTGGTGAGAGGGTGAGTATTCCCCACAGTCAGGTGGCCCAGAAAATGCCTCAAGGACACTCTCGTGAACAGTGTCCCTTGAAAATATTGTGTGAAAGTAAAGCTCTAAAATTACTGATGAAACATTTTATTAATTGCCGTTATGCTTGTTTATCTGTAATATTTTATTTTCATTTCCTTTGTCTCTTTCTAACAACAATATAACACAGGGTTTGTACTAAGCCCTCTCCTAACCAATTCCCCCTCCAACTACAATCCCCCTAACCCTGTAATATTGCAAATCAGCATTTTATTTAAGCTATTTAGCTTATTTTGCCGAGGTGCACTGTGTTCAAATGAACACCCAGTCCAGATCATCAGTTGGTGTAAATCACCAGAGCTCTGAATTGGAGCTACCCCAGTTTACACCAGCTGACAATCTAGCACTCAGAGCCTTATTTTCAGAAGTACTGAACACTCACAACTTCAGCTGAAGTCAATGGGAGCTGTGGGTGCTCAGCAACTGGAAATCAGGCCTAGAGAATTTAAATGAGGCAGTTTTAATGGTAACAAAAAGCAAGCTGGGGTTGCTTTTAGAGCACAGTCTGTGCAGTGCCTACTGCATGTGGAGGGTTGGTTGGTTTGTTTTTGAGGGAGTCTAGGATAATACATTTGCCAGCAGACATGATTCAATTCAGTACGTACCATACGCAGTCAAAGTCAATATCTTGACACTCGCCATAGGACCACTTGCAGAATAGTTCTGCACTTAAAACCCTGTCGGTCCGGTCAGGAATCGTGGTGTATTTGTCCCTGTGAAAGCCTTCAAATCCAGACTGTGTTGTTTTCTTAAGTTTCAGCTCTTTAATTCCAGAGATAACAAGTGGACAACCTGTGATCCAAAAATATTAGAGGGAAAAGATCAGCTCCTATTCATGCAGGGAGATGGGAACTCTGTGCTGGGGTGACGTACTGCCATACAGCATTCACCCAGAGGTGTAATTTTTTGCATTTGTGTGATACTTAGGTATTGCTCAACATTATTGTCTGCACACAGACATACGGAGCTGAGAGCCAACTTCTATACATTAGAAGTTAGAGTGTGATCTTGAAAGGTGCTGTAGGTCCTTTCCCTAAGGAGTGGCACACTCCCAATCCAATTCCCATTAAAATCAATGGGAATTAAAGGCATTCCACACCTCACCTTTTTGATCAGCCCCTTAGCCATGTCTATGCCACAGGCTTTCTTTCACACAATCTATATCAGTATACAGACGTCAAACTTAGTATATCACTCATGTGCGTGCATACTTGGCTGCTTGCATCAGCACTGCACGTACTCACCAGGACTGCTTGTGTCAATGCAAAGTGCAGTGTGTGCCATGCACCGTTGTCTGGCACAATGCCTGTTGGGACATTTTTGCAGTGTGTTGCGGGACAGAAATGACTTGTCCACGGATCACTGAGAGCTAGGGGCCAAGTTCCCAGCATGCAAGTGTCTCCACCCCATAATGCCAGCCATATCCCATAATTTTTGCTCCTTATTTTTAAAACCCCACAATCCCGCATGGCACTTTTCGGTTTCCACCATCTCTGACAGAAGCATGGAGCCCACAGAGCTCTGCACTATTCTCATAAACATCACAAATACAGGACACATGATTCTCCTGTATTTGCAGAGACACAAAAGTACCACACTTTAGCAGTCAGCCATACGTGTGTTCTGTGCTGAACTGTTCTCTGTGCCTTGAGCTTTGGTTGCTGTTAGGACATGTTTGGTGTTTGCTGTCTAGTTACAGCTATGACTGTTTTCCTCAGCCTCTGAGTTATGCGGTTTTGAGTACTGTAATGCATTCTGCAATGTTTGTTGTGTACTATTAACGATAATTTTATTCTCCAAAAATAGAAAATTGAGTGGCAAAAGCAGCACAGAAAAACCATGAGCAAAAAACTGCAGGCTATGCCATACAAACTTTAAACATATATTAACAGAATGGGACTTCGAAATTGGAAAGGCGGCTAACATTTCTGTCCATTTCACTGTACAAATATAATCCGTTGTGCCTACAGATATGCCAGCTGTGGCTCTCAGAGGTCAGTGTACGTGAAGCTGTGGTTTTCCTTGCTGGCAACCAGCATGGAGTGGTAGGAATACAGATGTGGCTGTTATGCCACATGGAATGTCGGATGGTGCATGGAGCTGCTAGAATGGAGTTCTCTCAGGACTGCAAAGGGTGCGGAGTCCAGGATTTTTGGATCTGTACATCGACAGGTCCTCAAAAGCATTTTTATTTGCTGCCTGAGAAGACCCATTATGTCCTGGTGCATCTCCCTCTCCTTTTCCTGGGCCTTTCTCCTGTCCACTCTCTCTTGCTTCATGCCGTCTGCCATGATGGTCCTCCAGACCCGTTGTTCATGGTCTGATGCAGCACTGGCTTGCAGGAACTTGCTGAACATGTCCTTCCTAGTCCTCTTCTTTCTCCTCCACCTCAGGATCTGGCATTCTGTGAGTGAGAAAGGCGTGCCCCTCAAGGTAGCAACAGCAGCAACTGCTGATAAAAACAGACAAATGTACCATGGATTTACAGTCACAATGGAAAGGGAAAGATAAGTTTCAAAACTCCCTCCCTTATTCCAATACAAATTTTTAATAAGACATTCTTACTGGCCCTTCAGCTTTGGAGCACCTCTGCACAGCACCGTTCTCCAGCCCCAGTGATGGTGAGTATGGCCTGCCAGAGGCGAGGAGGGGTGGGTGGGAAGGTATTTTGGTTTCATGAAACAACAGACTTTCTGTCCCTATTCCATGGGTATGAGCATAGGGCAAGGGCACTGATTATTGGCACTATTTTTCTCAAGTGGTTGTGATTTTAGCTGATATCTCACTCCTGGGGGTAACAAAGGCACAGAGAGCACAGCTGCTATTGGTGTCCCAAAGCCACCCGAGCCCATATGCTGCTAGCCTATCTACTGCAATGGTGCCAGCCAAACTCGTCATGGAGTGGTGGGGGAAAGGAGGAAAAAATAAGGCAGCCATCCCTAGAAACCTTTAGGGGAGAAGTGTAGAGCACCCCCATGAAAGTTTCACAGAGCTCTCTCAGGAGGGTACATAAAAAAAATATTACTTTGCCTGCCTCCTTGCCAATGAAAGCATATACAACTCCTACCTTTGTTAGTTCTACCTTTTGCCTCTTCTTCTACAAGTTAACCAATGAAAAGATGATACCTGTGTCTTATTAGCTTGGGGCTGGGCTGGGTATCATCTTTAAACTTAAACATTGTAAAGAAAATGCATGAACACACTTACCCAAGATCCCTTCCCCTTCTTCAGTTCATCCCCGCTTAGCTGATGGGACTGACTAGACTGCGGCAGAATCTCAAACAGGTCCTGGCTTGGGGCATGGCTGGAGCCCCCCTGCTGCACCTCCCCACTTCTTCTCCACCTGCTCACTGTTCATGGCTGGGGTCTCTGTCTCAAGCTCCTCCACAGTATCCATGGTGGTCTGCAGCGTGGGGGTAGGGTCTTGGCCAAGTATGACATACATCTCATTGTAAAAGTAGCAGCTCAGCACCAGATCAATTGTTGCGCTCCCTGTCCTTGTGGTATACCAGGTGCTGTTACATTGCTTTCACGCAGCATTGCTCTTGGTCCCCGTCATACCTCTTAGCCTGCTGGTAGAGGTCCATGTTTCTATGGCTGGTCTGTAGCTGTGCTTGCACAACCTCTTCTCCCCACACCCAGGAGATCCAGTATCTCCTGTCTACTCCAGGCAGGAGCATGTCTAATGTGTAGACCCAACATGGTCAGCTGGGCAATAAGGAAAAGGCATTTCAAAAATACGTGAGGCGGGGACAGCTTCCAGTCTCTGTGATCCACAGGCAGTGGAGTTCACAATTGTGACCAAAGTGGTCTGTGTTGCAGGGAATAAGGTGTTGTGGAACAGCTGCTGGAGAATTTTAGGGTCGAGCCAGGTCACATAGTGTCTACACTCCCACTGCATGACCATGGTTCATGCTGCTCAGGGAGATGGTTTTACTGCGTCGCTGGAATGGAGTGCTTATGTCAATGGGAGACACATGCACAAATAGGGTGATGCAAGGGGGCTTATGTCGACCTAACTTTGTAGTGTAAATAAAACCTTAGACAGAGCTAGAACTTGTTTCAGCTCTCATTGAAGGCAATGGAAGGACTCCCATTGACTTCAGTGGGAACTGAATTGAGCCATAAGTGATGTGGCCTAAGAGAATGATGAGGTCAGTTTTTTCCTAAGTAACAACAGGGAGTATTGTAGGAAATCTACTATATATAGACTGGAACCCTTCTGAAAGTCCCTCTTTCACATCTATCTCAGTGTGAGTTCTGCATGTGTTATATTTGGAGGCAAGCAGCCAATGTGAACTCTTGCAATTTGGATTTGCAGACATTGGTTTTTGTACCCGCAGCTTCAAGTTGACAGTAGGTACTTTCAGTTTTGACCGCTACATCTAAAACTTATTACTGCAGATGTGAGGATCACAGCTTTCTTCTGAATACCAACCAGAAGATTTCTTGACTTTTTATTTGAGAAGCTCTTTTGGATGATCACACTGGGAAATTTCATGTGTCTAATCCTTTGAATTACACTGATAACTGAACATTTAACTTTTGTTTCCCTATGCACTAGAAAATTTTTCTGAGCAAGAGAAGCTAGTTTTTTGTTTGGTCCCAGGTAACAATCAAATCTGTTTCATGTGTGTGAATGGTTGCTGTGTCACAAATCTTTCTATTAAGATACTTGAGAGTTATCACTAGTGACAGTTGAGAGATATTTCATTTTTTTAAGCATTGGAAAAGCACATGCCCCACATACATAGCAATATCACGTCTGTATGGCATGTGAAACCAGCCTTGTGACTACACCCAGATGTCTCCAAAACTGAGACTCTACAGGTCCAAAAGGGAGTCTACTCTTCTACACCAGATAAGGATAAATTTCCTTCTGCTGGCTCAGGAGATTGGTCGGGAGATATAGTCTTTCAAGGTGCTTATGCTCTGAAAAGTGATTGTATAAAAATGGCATCATGAGTAGGGATGGTTGAAAGTTTTCCATCAAAACTGTTTTTTTGACAGAAAATCGAGGTTTTGTCAAAACAAAATTTTTCATGAAAAGTATCTGCTTTCCATACAAAATGTTGCTTTTGTTGAAAACTTTTCGCTGAAAACCAAAAAAATATATATTTTTTTACTAACATTTGACATTTTTATTAGGACAAAAAAATCTTCTGACCAGTTCTGATAACAAATTTTCATACTTATTCTGTGTCAGTGATTTTCACACTACGTTTGGCCAGTTGAAAAAGATAGCATTTCCTAGCTGCCAGCTTTGTGTAGAATCTGAAAGGCAAGCTGGGTTCTTTCTGACTGTGAGTTCTTTAATAACATAGATTCTGCAGCTGGGTTTTAGTTAATAATTCTGATGATAATGTGCAAGCCAGAATAGGCTCCAATTCACTCTCCCTTACTTGTATTAGCTCTTTCCTTTATAAGACAATATTTAAAGAATAGCCTGTAATAGAATTTATTAATTTAAAAAAAATGGCCACTTGATACAGGAGATATTTAAAATGGATTGCCACATCTGAAATAATAATCACATTTTATTTTGCAGATACAGATCTCCTCTCATTTTTATTCTTTGCATTCTTTTTGTTGTTGTCTTAAACTTGTCTAAGGAGTTGTATCTCTAATTTCCAGGGGATTCCCCTCTATTTCATACCAGGACATTGGAGCAGTTAAAGAAAAGACTGCCCTCAGTAATACTTCCCAGGTTTCATACAGAGCCTTATGCATGCTGGGACAGGACTTGAGGAGTTTAGTCAGTGCTGTTAAGTAATCATGCACTGGAGGCGCATGAGCAATGAAACTCCTAATTTATGTATTTTACTGTCAAGTATCACTGCCCCAGTTTAAGGAGCTCCCCTATAACCTGGGATATAGATGTTTTATATATCTCTTGTTTTAAGCCAGAGGTCCCAAAACTGTGGGGCATGGACGAACATTGGGGGGGACCTGGCAGGGCCCAGACCAGCTCCCACAAGGAGCGGGGAGGGAGCACCACCCAGTCCCTCCCCACCCCCACCTCTGCTCTGGTCCTGCCCCAACTGCATTCCTGGCCCTGGCCCCAGCCTCAGTGCAGCTCCGCTCCCGGCCCTGCGCCAGCTCCCAGCCTCAGCCACTGGCCGCAGCTCTGTTCCAGGCCTGGGGCCAAGACCAGGAGTGGAGCTGCACCTGGCCACGGGCCCAGATGCCGGACCCCACCACAGCCCAGCTGCGGCTCCGCTCCTGCCCCCGCCACGGCCCCAGCCTCGGACCCCGAATCCCTGTCCATGACCCCCCCTGGCCCTGGCTCCAGAGGGGTCGGGCTGGTGGGCACTGATGGGGTAAGAGGGATGCGACCCTCAAAATTTGGGGACCACTGTCTTAAGCTCATTGCAGTGGGTGACTGAGCACCTATGCAATGTTTATTGAAAGATAAAATACCTTATTTTATGCTATCAGTATATATAGGTTTTATGTTTTCTTTTCAGTTGCCAGATATTGAATCAATTAAATTAACCAGGACCTTTATTGACTCACAATAGCTCTGTGCTTGTTAACGTTCGATATGTTGATAATGAAATATGCTTATGATTATATTAATTCTCAGAGCTCTTTTTACTAGCAGAGTGAAAGGGTGAAATGCAAGGGTTGCCTGAAGTAAATTTCAAAGTCTAGTTAATAGGTGTGTAGGAGGAACATTAAAGATAGAGACAATTATCTTGCAAGAAATTAAAAAGGAAATAGTTGAAAACCATCTCTGGTGTTACTCCTCACCTATGCAGGAAATCCAGAGAAAACTATTAAAGGGCTGCATGATAGCGAGACTGAAAATTGAAGGTAAGTCATTTTGGTGAGTTCTGGTACATGCTTTTTGTTTGCAAACTCTCATAGGGTGCTCCCTCCAACATGACCTTTTGTGGCCCTGCAGGTGCAGTACACTCAGCACCCCCCTCAGGTTCTTTCAATCAATTATCCAGACTTGGGTTGGTTCAAAACATGTACCCCCTTCATGGGATCTAATTTATTAAGTCTGTCTATGGACGGTAACTTACTTCACTGGTGACCATAAGTCACCCCACTCTGGGTTCATACAAGAGTCCTGGTCAGCTCTTGTTCTTGTTCAAGAGTTCCCACCCAACCTCCACCCGTACCCCCCCTTGAAGGACCTGGGGTTGTGCTTCAGATGGTCACTTTCTCAAAACAGGAATCCTCAGCTCTCTTCCTTGGAGCTGGGTTGTAAATGTAACCCTTCTGCCAGGCAACAGCAACAAGGGCCAGGTTCAATATCTGGGGGTTCCTGTTAACATTAAAAAACAGAACTGTCTTGAGCCCTCACCCAGAAATCTGGGAAAACTAAATGCCATACCTGGGTTCTGCTAAGAGATAATACTTCCCCACTTGCAAGCACTAAGTCTGTCTATAGCAAAAGGAAACTTTTATTAAAAGGAACAGGGAACTTAGTATTAATTTGGGAAAAAACTGCAACAAAGATTCAGAAGTATGCACACCGTACGTAAATACCCAACCCACAGTATTGTGGGCAGTATCCTTTGCCTCAGTTTCCGACCTTGCTTTGTGAAATTCTGACAAATGTCCCTTTAACACACTACTCCCCTTTCCTTCTGCTGCACCCTGCTCATGGTTGGTCATCCAAAATCCGTGACATCCCCAAATTCAGGGGTGCATTCACAATGATTCACCTCCCACCCCAGAAAGGGTGTGGGTGTCAAGCAATGCCTCTGCTGCTGCCACTGCTCACCATTGCTGCTGCTGATGGCCACCACATTTACTGCTGTTCACTGTCCCCTCTTCCTCTAGCTGTGATGTAGTGTTCTGAGGTTACACTGCTTAGCCCAGTTCTTAGTGGTATCAGTGGGTAGGGGGAACCTCACTTCTGCTGCATCCTCTGTGTTATCTTGCATTACAACACTATCCCCACACCAGGTGTAAGGCTCAGCCCCCAAAACTGCTCATCAATGATTTCAACTCCTGTGATCATTGAACAGAAACACAGTCTCTAATTTGATCTGATCAGCTCTGTCTTTAAACACCAGAGGGAAAGGATCAAATGGTATCTAGGACTCTTTAAACAAAGTCTGCACCACCACCGGTTATCCCATCACCCGCTCACGTTCACGTGGATTTGGCATCACTACCTCCTGCTTGTGAGTGAAGTGCAAGTAAGGGTGGCCCCCTCAGCTGAGGCATGTTGGGTTCAGTTCTACTGCCCTTTAGTCGTACAATAAGGATAACATTTCATTACCCCTTCACTCAAGACTACAGTGCATTTTAACCCAGAACAGCTGGAATTGATCACTTTGGCAAAGCCAGTATGTCTGCTGATCGCCTAGCCACAATAGGTGTGTCTATGCAAATGCCATCTGCTTCTGAAGTACTTTCCCCCAGTTCATCAATAGATGGCAGTGGAGAGAGCTCACTCAGGCCCTGGCTCACATTAGGTAGGCAGTCCCTCCGTCTCTCCTTAAACAGGAGTTCCCACTCTCATCCTTGGAGCTGGGTTGTACTTTAGCCAGGTTCTCCATCAGCTGGCTTCTTTCCCCCCAATTAGTCCTCGGGCTCAGTGTGTTCAGCAGGTCAGCCCTCTCCATCTGCTATCTGCCCTACTATGAGGGAGGAGGCAGAATTTATGCTGGTCCTCTTCTCCCAGTTCATCCGCAATTGGTTGTGTGAAATGTTAACTTTGCCCCACCCACTCTGCAAGGCTCCTGTGCCCTTAAAAACAGCGTGATGGCATTTCCTCCCAAGCACCATTTATTCCTGGCACTGCTTCTGCTCTATCAATGTCTCCTAGGTCCTGGTATATACATTGGACTGTTCAAAATCTTAAAAGGCAATGCCACGTAACAGGGATGGACTGACCCCGTAGGCACCACGATCCGTAAGGGACAGACTGCTCCCTCACACAAATATTCACAGCTTTTATGCATGTGGTGTACAAGGTTTGATGATGAGTCTTTAGACACTGAAAAATATGCAATACTATCAGTGTATTAAAAGCAGGAGCTTTTCCAGAAAATGATATAAACTCTTTAATTTCATTCAGGTTTCTTTTTTCATTTCCTTGTAGAAGTTAAGAAAGGATGTGGAAACCCAAGTCAGAGTTGCTCATGCTGCCAAAAATGTGGCATTGATTAAATGTCCTCCGGATCATAAAACATCTCTTCCTATAGAAAACTCAGGCCAAAATTCACTGGAAATTTGTGTCTGATGCTGCCTGTTCTACTGGTAGAAATACTAGAAAAAATACTCAGAATGAGTCTTTCAGAGCTCTTTGCTGTTCACAAAGGAAATGAGTTGTGCCAAGATATAAGTAGACATGCTAGATAACTCATAGAGGGGCCTTCCAATTCTAACAACCCTGTGAACCAGGAAGGGGACTTGATGGGTCATAAGACTGGTAATGAGCTACAGAGCCTTTCATCTCTAGATTATGAATTTGAATACAGCCTCAGTCAGTAGCAATTAAAAGTTGTTACTATCTCATGATTGTTCAGTACTAAGGAGCCTATTGTTACTATTTCTATCTCAGCAGTGCCTAGAAACTCCAATCCCATTGTGCTTAACACTGTAGTGATCTCAGTCCAGTTCCTGGCATTACATCCTCATGTTACATAAAACAAAATTTGGATCTAACTGGCATTCTTGAGGGCAGTCACAGCAATGAGGTTGAATTTGTAGATTCAAATTGGTAGCTAGATATCTAACACGCTAGTTTACATATGTAGGTGCAGCTTTAAATCCTACATTACTTGAGCACTCCAAAACTCTCACTGAACTCAATGGGAGTTTTGGTGATGCAAGGAATTCAGAATTTGTGCACACACATTTTAGTGTTTACACATGAAAAATTGCTTGCACAGAGATATGGGTGCTACGTTAGAGGTTACGCTGAGGTCCTCTAGCAGCCGGACCTAATTTGTAATGCAGAAATTGAATCTTTTTAGAAGCAAAGCCAAGGCATATTCATGGGCTTTTGCAGTGTTACTGTAAATTAGTCAGTTGGACTAAAATACTACATCTTTGGGAGTGTACTGACTGTTAGAGTAACACTAAAATTCAGACTATAGGCTATACTATGATGTATTAGTGGAAGCCGGTCATTTTCAGAAGCCAGTTCAGTCCTGTGAGTTCATGTAATAGTAATGCTTTGTGAACAATTTGTAATTATTATGTGTTTAGGAGAACTCTATAAATATAAGGCTGGATTCTGCTCACCCATGATTCAGTGAGCAAGGACAAAGGATCAAACCTATCTTAAAAACTTTGAGGTGCCCCTTTCTTTGTTTTAGCGCTGTGGAGAATCTTTGATTATGTTCTAAGCCTTTAACTCCTGCAATCATCTCTAAACCTGTGTTTGTCTTTAATCAATAGAGACATTAAGGAAGGAGTAATGATTCTGAAGGAAAATTAGCAATTATTTTCTCACCATTCTGACACTGTTCGGCTTCACAAAAGCGAATTCCTTCAGGAACACAGATAAAGGAATGGACATGGGGAATTCCATTCTACAGATTTAAAACACATTTGTAAGTAAAACTGTAATGCATTGTAATATAACTTTTAAAAAATGAACTGAGAAAGAAACATCCAGAAAAACACATTAGTATTTTTTAGAACTGTCGAGTAATTGCAGTTAAATCACGCGATTAACTCAAAAAAATGAATCGCGATTAAAAAAATGAATTGCAATTAATCGCAGTTTTAATCGCACTTTTAAACAATAGAATACCAAATGAATTTATTAAATATTTTGGATGTTTTTCTACATTTTCATATATATATTGTATTCTGTGTTGCAATTGAAATCAAAGTGTATATTATTTTTTATTACAAATATTTGCACTGTAAAAATGATAAACAAAAGAAATAGTATTTTTCAATGCACCTCATACAAGTACTGTAGTGCAATCTCTTTGTCATGAAAGTGCAACTTACGAAGTAGATTTTTTTTGTTACATAACTGCACTCAAAAACAAAACAATGTAAAACTTCAGAGCCTGCAAGTCCACTCAGTC